ATCATCGGGTTCCCGGCTCAACATGATTCGAAAGGGACCTCGGAAGGGTTCACGATGGCTCCAGAGGGCCCAGGGACGGGCCAAATGAGCCCAAGAGGGCCCCAGGAGGCTTCAGAGCGTGCTCAGGAGGGCTTCCGGAGAGGGCCCGAGCAGCCCCCGGAGGCGTCCCAAAGTCCCCCGCGCGAGGGCATGCTTGACTTGAGAGCAGAAAGGGCGGCCAGCGGACGCCCGTGGTCGTGGTGCAGGCGGGTCCCCCAGCCAGCGGAGTGAGCAGGGCCGCGGGGAGGACCCCAAGAGGGGTCCGAGGGCTCTTTGGAAAGGTATCGGTACGAGAAATGCGTGGGCAAAACGCCATAAAGATCAACTTTTGGCGCTCCGCGCAGATTGCGCCTCCGGCGCCGCCCCTGGCGCGCTCAGCGCGCCAGGGAGGGGGGGCCCAGCGCAGATCCGAGAAATCTTCGTGGAGCGCCAAACGTTCATGTTTATTCTTCTAGTATTAGGTCGGGCCTGTCCCCCTACAGGGGGATTTTGGACGAAAAGTACACATATTCAAACATACGCCCAAAATGATCAAACATGTCATCAACGTCGTCCCCAGACGATTCTTTGAACTACTATTTTTGAATATTCCTCCGGTAGGGGGACAGGCCCGACTTCTAGTAAGACGACTGAGGGCAAAGAGTCCTGGCAGACCGTGCAGCGGGGATCTCGCACGCCGTGCCCGTTGAGCGGCGGACCACTCTCCGCTCATCCCACCGGCGCCAGGCCATTCCCTCGCGGGCGTCAGCCCGCGTCTGCGTTGCCGCTGCGGCGCTGAGGGGTGGTGCGCACTGGCTGCTCGTGCCCGCTCCTCGGGTTGACCCAAAAGGGGGTCCAGCGACAAGAGGGTGTTGCACTAGATGTGGTGCAACATACTTGTAAGGTTGCAATACGTTTGGGGCGTTCAGCACATTCCCGGGCGCAAGTTGATTGCTTGCCTCCAGAGGCTTGAGGCTCACGAGTCCAGGGTCGTTCGGTGCTCTCGGCCTCTGGGAGACTGCTTCCTTCGGGGGGGGGAACAGCGAAGAGACTGCTCGGAGTGGACAGCATGCCCCAGGGAAGGGAGGGATCGGGATGCCCGGGGTCCAAAGTCTCGAGAAGATCGAGCCTCCGGATGTCTGAGAGGGAGTGAGAAGCATCCTCTCCTCCCCGCTCCCTCCCACCTCCTCCCTCCGCCCGAGCGCGCGGGGAGGGGAGGAGGATGAGGAGCAGCAGAAGCAGGAAGGAGCAGAGAGGACGAGGAGGAGGAGGAGGAGGAGGATGAGGAGGAGGAGCAGGAGGAGAAGGAGGAGGAGCAGGAGGAGCAGGAGGAGGAGGAGCAGGAGGAGGAGGTAAGACCACGGAGAGGAGGAGGAGGAGGAGGAGGAGGAGGAGGAGGAAGAGGAGGAAGGGTAGGAGGAGGAGGAGGAGGAGGAGGAGGAGGAGGAGGAGGAGGAGGGGGAGGAGGGGGAGGAGGAGGAGGAGGGTTCGGTTTTGTTGCCGCTGCGCTGGCCTCCACGATCCATCGCAGTTCTTTTGGCCTCTGGGACCAAGCAGCCGTCGATCACGGCACCACAGGATCACGCTGTCACTCGCAGGCGAGCGTACTTCCACCGTGCCCAAGGGGCTCAAAACCTTATTTTGTTGTCAGCAGTTTTTGTTTTTTAGCTCTTGCTTTTTCTGACCAAGAACGGTCCAAAACGGACCAAGAGGCTCCAAAGATCGTCCCAAGACGGCCCCAGAGGCCCCCGAAAGGACTCGAAAACATTCCAAGAGGGCCCCAAGACAGCGCCAGAGGAGCCCCAATCGGTCCAAAAGGGCTCCAAGACGGCCCAAGAGGGCTCCAAGGCGACCCCAGGAGAGCCTCAAGAGGGCCCAAAGAGGCTATCAAGAGGGCTCGAAGAGGTCCCCGAGAGAGCCCCAAAAACGGCCAATGGCCTCCAAAACGCCCCAAGACTGCCCCATAGGGCTCCAATACGGTCCAAATGTGCCCCAAAAGGCCTCCCCAAGGGCTCCAAAAGGGCCCCCAAGAAGACCCCGACGAGGCGAGAACAGCATGGCTCCCATCAGCGAGCGGTGACGTAACAAGCTCTTGACACCAAGGCTCCCCAGAGCGCGGCGACGTAAAGAGCTCGTCACACCAAGGCTCCCAAGAGCGAGCGGCAACGTAAAAGTCTCTGAACACCAGGGCTCCCAACGGAGAGCGGCGACGTAACAAGCTCTTCACGCCAAGGCTCCCAAGCGCGAAGGTGACGCAAAAAGCTCGTGCACACCAAGGCTCCCAAGAGCGATCGGCAACGTCAGCATCTCTGAACACCACGGCTCCCAACAGAGAGTGGTGACGTAACAAGCTCTTCCCACCAAGGCTCCCAAGAGCGAACGGTGACGTGACGAACTCGTGCACTCCAAGGCTCCCAAGAGCGAACGGTGACGTAAAAACGCAAACAGTTTTCAGGACAGCACAAAGCCGAATTCGACAACAGGATTGCCACGGCATGGAACCAATACCGCATGCTGAAAGAAGAACTAACAGACACATCATATTCCTTCAGTGACCGACTCCGGCTGTCCAGTGGCCCGATCACACTCGCTGTGTTGTACGGGAGCGAAAGTTGGACGCTTACACGAGATATGCAAAGTACATTGAACAAGATTCAGCGCCGGATGCGCCGGATGATCGTGCGTGTGCCGAGACGACGACTAGCTATTGCCCGGCTCAGACACCGACGCCGCTCCGCCCCCCAACCCGGGCAACGACATCGCCGAGGACGACACTTCATTGGAGCCTTGGCCAGAATCCTGAACTGGGCCCTACAACTGGACCTACGCACGCCAGCCGGGCGACGCCCAGGGCGCCCTAAGGCCCGGAGGGTGGACGATATCAAGCAGCATGTGCTGAGCACGATTGGTTACAACGGTTGAACACCGGTTGCGACGTTAGAGGCGTGGGACCACCTGAGGGACGATTACATCATCGGGGGCGGCAGAGAGGGGGGTGATGACTAGGGGGGGGTGGATATCATGGCGGGGCCAGGATCTTCCCCCAGATTTCTCGTCTCTTCTTATTTCATTACGTCCCTGGCCCCCCCGCTGGGCCGCGCACATGCCGCCGGTCATGATTTGCACCCCCCCCTCTTGGACACCCCCCTCTTGGCCGCTCCCGACATCAGGATGTCAGCGGGCCTCGGCCCCCCTGGCGGCTCCTCTCGCGGAGCCTGGCGCTGGCTTCCGTTCCGTTCCGTCCCGAAGCTTGCACCACGGCGCTCGCCCGAGGTCGGCACCCCTTCCCCTGGGACCGGCTTGTCATCCCGGGCCGTTTTTTTGACGGGCGCTCGGGCCTGTGAGGGGCCCCAGAGGCCGAGTCGCGTTTTCTTTTTTGTGCGCGTGTGTGTGTGTGTTTTTCACGGCGCGAGGATGTCGGGGTACACCGAGTTCCTCTGCCGACCAGACAACTCGGTGTATACCTCGCGCTCCTCCCAGGTCCTGTCCGCCCCCTCATCGGTGCAGCCTGGCCTGCCAGAAGGTGCCCCACATGAGCTTCTGATCCCCCAAATCATAAGCCTCTTAGATGGGATGGGAGTGGATGGGGTCGGGGGATCGCGCTGCATCGCCGATGCATCGGCGATGCGGCTCGATGTGGAGCCCGATTTGATTCATGCCGACGTCGCCGATGCACCGCCGACGTCGACGAGGCGCCGCCGACGTCGACGATGCACCGCTGGTGCATCAACGATGCATCGCCGATGCATCGCTGATGTATCGGCGATACGGCGCGGCGCGATCCTCCGGCCCCATCTACCCCGGACCCCATCTAGGAGGCCTCTGCAGGTGCTCTGGTGGCCCACGAAATCCTTGGGGCACTTTCGGAAGCTCAGGTCTCGCCGACAATCGTGTCCCCAGATGTCTTGCAGTAGGATGTCTTATCGTATGTTTTAGTCGGGCATGCCCCTCTACAGGAGGACTAGTCAAACATAGCCACCAAATGCTCAGGGGACGATGTTTCCTACTAGTCTTTGACTCTTTTTGAACATTTCTTGACGACGGTTTTTTCTTCCAAGATCCGCCCGTAGGAGGACATGCCCGCCCGACCCAATCGCAGGCGTCTGCCGTAGCTCCGCGCACCTCCGGGTCCTCGGAAGCCGCGCCCCCTGCGGCGGTGGCCCCCCGCTCCCCCCGCAGGAGCTCCCCCCCCGATTTCCTAGGACGGCACGAATCCCGGGGCCGAGGGAGCACCATGGCCCGAGGCGCGTGCGCGGACGAGGCCGCCTCTTCCTCCTATTCCTCCTCCTCCTCCTCCTCCTCCTCCTCCTCCTCCTCCTCCTCCTCCTCCTCCTCCTCCTCCCCCTCCTCTTCCTCCTCCCCCCCCCGCAGGAGCTCCCCCCCCACCCCCCTCCGCGGCGCAGGTGCTCAATTTCGAGGGCGTCTCGGCCTACCACGCCGAGCTGTTCCTGCGGCCTGGCGCCACGGGGCAGGCGCCGCCGCCACCCCTCCCGGCGGAGGTCCGTCGCTGTCTTTTGGTTGGCGGCCCCTGGCTTGGCATCGCTCGGACGTGTGCGCTTTTTCCTCGGCGAGGACCATCGAGGAGCATTCTTGACCACTTAGCGAAAAAAAAACACGCACGAAACCGAAACAAGAACACAGGGAATGGACGTCTGAGCGATGGCCAGCTGGGGCCCTCCGCATGGGGAATATTCGAAGGTAGGCAAGGACAGAAAACAGTCCGCTGACGATGTCTCTGTTATATTTTTGGGGACTAGCTTTGAGGAGCGTTTGTCTGTTTCCCTTTTCTTTTTCCTCCAGAATCCGCCTGCAGGAGGACATGCCCGACCCAACGCTGGGGGCCCTGGCCGGGCCCCGGACCGCCGAAGCACGGCTCGGGATGAAGAAGCCAGCCTGGGTGAAAGAAGCCAGCCTGGGTTCACGCCAGTCAGCACGACGCGGGACGAACAGGGTCGGGATGTCTGGTGGCCCCGTGTTGGGAACAATCAAGACGTCGGATGTCTCGCCCTCCCCCTACGTGGGTTGCCTGACGCCGAGGCCCTCCGCCCTCTCCCCCACTCCCCCAGGCACTGGGCGCTGCACGCTCTTGCGCGCCGGGCCTCTTCCGCCCCCTTCCGGGGGGCCCCGCGGGGCCCTCACGGCTGGAGCCGGCTCGAGGGATGCCGCAGACAGTGCCTGGCGGCTCTGATCGTGATCTTGACGATGTTGCAGGTACTTTTATCGCTGGGATTTTTATTGCTCCTAATTCAAGCTTCGCGCGGCCCGCTTAGCTTCGACCGGAAGAGGTGCGCTCTCGACCCGCGGATCAAAAACATGTATTTTTGTTGCTCTGATCCTCCGCGCCCTCCGCCCCCCATGCCTCCTCCAAGTGTGCAGAAGAGATGTATTCTTTCTGCAGCACCTCCCACGCATGTTTGTTTTCTACGACGAGTACTCCATAGGCGGTCTCTTCTGCCTACGCGTCCTGCCTGATGCTTCGCTTCCTGCTGCTGCTGCATTTGTTTTGATCCCAGGGTCCCCCATTAAGGGATTGCGACTAGCCAGGAGGCGGAGGAGAATGTGGAGGAGCAGGCGGAGGAAAAGGCGGAGGACGCTTACAGTCGAACATCTGATTCAGACACCTACTCCCGGAAAGCTGGGCCACCGTTTCTTTTCCAATGTCAGAAAGCTGGCCCTGTTTCTTGAGAGCGTTCGTCCCTCCAGCTTTCACGCGAGCACTTGGCCCGGGCTTGTCTTAAGAAACTTCTGGCAAGCTGGCGCAGGTTTCTTAGATTTCAACGTTCTTGATCACATGTTCGGCTTTGTTCAGGAACTGCGAGTGGCCAGTAGGCGGAGGAGAAGGAGAAGGAGGAGGAGAAGGAGGAGGCGGAGGAGGAGGAGGAGGAGGGAGGAGGAGGAGGCGGAGGAGGAGGAGGAGGAAGAGGAGGAGGAGGAGGAGAGGAGGAGGAGGAGGAGGAAGGAGCAGGAGGAGGAGGAGAGGAGGAGGAGGAGGAGAGGAGGAGGAGGAGCAGGAGGAGGAGGAGGAGGAGGAGGAGGAGGGGAGGAGGAGGGGAGGTGGGAGGAGGAGGAGAGGAGGAGAGGAGGAGGAGGAGGAGGAGGAGGAGGAGGAGGAGGAGGGAGGAGGAGCAGGAGGGGAGGAGGAGGAGGAGGAGGAGGAGGAGGAGAGAGGAGAGGAGGAGGAGGAGGAGGAGGAGGAGGAGGAGGAGGAGGAGGAGGAGGAGCAGCAGGACGACGACCGCGACGACGACGACGACGACCCCGCCGACGGTCGCAGCAGGGCCTCTGCGTCCGGGACAACTCGAAGAACGGCACCGGCGTGAAGCCAGGGCCGTCCGGCCCGGCGGACAGGGATCGAGCGCGCTCCTCCGCGGGGCGGCCAAGAGGGGGGTGATGACTCGACGGGGGGGGTGGATATCATGGCGGTGGTCTTGATATCTCCCCAGACTTCATTCGAAGACTTATGCTAACGGAGTTCCCCACATAAAGATGTTACGGGGTTCCATTGCTTCTTGTCTGCGCTCTGGTGGGGCCTCCCTGGAGGGGTGGGAGGGGCACGAAACCTGATGAATAATATGGTGTGCGAATACCCTGCCCGCTCTGGTGGGGCCTCCCTGGAGGGGTGGGAGGGGCACGAAACCTGATAAATAATATGGTGTACGGATACCCTGCCCGCTCTGGTGGGGCCTCCCTGGAGGGGTGGGAGGGGCACGACACCTGATAAATAACATGGTGTGCGAATACCCTGCCCGCTCTGGTGGGGCCTCCCTGGAGGGGCTGGAACGGCACGAAACCTAATAATAAAACATGGCGTGCGAATACCCTGCCCGCTCTGGCGGGGCCTCCCTGGAGGGGTGGGAGGGGCACGAAACCTGATAAATAGCATGGTGTGCGAATACCCTGCCCGCTCTGGTGGGGCCTCCCTGGAGGGGCTGGAACGGCACGAAACCTAATAATAAAATATGGCGTACGAATACCCTGCCCGCTCTGGCGGGGCCTCCCTGGAATGTTGGGAGGGGCGCGAAACCTGATAAATAATATGGCGTGCGAATACCCTGCCCGCTCTGGTGGGGCCTCCCTGGAGGGGTGCAGGGGCACGAAACCTGATAAATACTATGGTGTGCGAATACCCTGCCCGCTCTGGTGGGGCCTCCCTGGAGGGGTGGGAGGGGCACGAAACCAGATAAATAACATGGTGTGCGAATACCCTGCTCGCTCAGGCGGGGCCTCCCTGGAGGGGTGGGAGGGGCACGAAACCTGATAAATAACATGGTGTGCGAATACCTTGCTTGCTCAGGCTGGGCCTCCCTGGAGGGGTGGGAGAGGCACGAAAACTTATAAATAACATGGTGTGCGAATACCCTGCTCGCTCAGGCGGGGCCTCCCTGGAGGGGTGGGAGGGGCAGGATACCTGATAAATAACATGGTGTGCGAACACCCTTCCCGCTCTGGTGGGGCCTCCCTGGAGGGGTGGGAGGGGCACGAAACCTGATAAATAACATGGTGTGCGAATACCCTGCTCGCTCAGGCGGGGCCTCCCTGGAGGGATGGGTGGTGCAGGAAACCTGATAAATCTCATGGTGTGTGAATGCCCTGCTCGCTCGGGGCCTCCCTGGAGGGGTGGGAGGGGCACGAAACCTGATAAATACATGGTGTGCGAATACCCTGCTCGCTCAGGCGGGGCCTCCCTGGAGAGGTGGGAGGGGCACGAAACCTAATAATAACATGGTGTGCGAATACCCTGCTCGCTCAGGCGGGGGCCCCCTGGAGGGGTGGGAGGGGCACGAAACCTGATAAATAGCATGGTGTGCGAATACCCTGCTCGCTCAGGCGGGGCCTCCCTGGAGGGGTGGGAGGGGCACGAAACCTGATAAATAACATGGTGTGCGAATACCTGCTCGCTCAGGCGGGGCCTCCCTGGAGGGGTGGGAGGGGCACGAAACCTGATAAATAACATGGTGTGCGAATACCCTGCTCGCTCAGGCGGGGCCTCCCTGGAGGGGTGGGAGGGGCGCGAAACCTGATAAATAACATGGTGTGCGAATACCCTGCTCGCTCAGGCGGGGCCTCCCTGGAGGGGTGGGAGGGGGACACGAAACCTGATAAATAACATGGTGTGCGAATACCCTGCTCGCTCAGGCGGGGCCTCCCTGGAGGGGTGGGAGGGGCACGAAACCTGATAAATACATGGTGTGCGAATACCCTGCTCGCTCAGGCGGGGCCTCCTTGGAGGGGTGGGAGGGGCGCGAAACCTGATAAATAACATGGTGTGCGAATACCCTGCTCGCTCAGGCGGGGCCTCCCTGGAGGGGTGGGAGGGGCACGAAACCTGATAAATAACATGGTGTGAGGAAAGGCATGGTATGGTATGGGATGGTGGATGCATGGTATGGTATGGTAAGGTATGGTATGGAGTGGCATGGTATTGGTATGGTATGATACAGTATGGGATGGTGGAGGAAGCGGGAGGAGGAGGAGGAGGAGAGGATGTTCTGGGAAAACAAGAACCCCACTCAGGATGTGGGGAAGAAAAAAACACATAAGCGTAAACGTTTGGCGCTCCGCGCGGATTTCTTGGATCCGCGCCTGGGCCCCCTGGCGGCGCCTCCGGCGCCGCCCCTGGCGCGCTCCGCGCGCCAGGGAGAGGGTCCAGCGCGACTCCGAGAAATCCGCGCGGAGCGCCAAAAGTTATTGCTTATGTGTTTTTGTTCCTTCTTGTGTTCATGGCGCCTCCACTTTTTTCAATACGTTCTCTGGCCCACACTGGTCCGCGCACATGCCTCGGGCCATGATTTGCACACGCCCCTCTTGGACCCCCCCTCTTGGACGCCCCCGATCCTCTCGGCGACTACCTAGGGTGTGGTGACGCCGGGGGTGTGGTTTGCGATCGTCGCCTGTGGGGCCTGGGGGGCACGACACGGTCCTCGTCGGGCCACCTCGGGGCGCGGCGGAGAACTCTCTATCGAGGTCCCCGCCCGTCCCCCAGTGTGCCCGCCCAGAAGGCCCGTTGCCAACCACACCCTTTGCAAACCAAACCTTTCGGAGCTGCCGATCCTCAGCCTGCATTCGTGCGCCCTGCAGGAGGAGGAGGAAGAGGAGGAGGAGGAGGAGGAGGAGGAGGAGGAGGAGGAGGAGGAGGAGGAGGAGGAGGAGGAAGAGGAGGAGGAGCAGGGAGGAGGAGGAGGAGGAGGAGGAGGAGGAAGAGGAGGGAGGAGGAGGAGGAGGAGGAGGACCCAGACCTCCGAAGATAGTCTTTCCTCGATCTCTCGGCATCTGGGGTTGAATGTTAATCACCAAACAACTTTTATTGTTGGACCCCCCCCAGGCGCATTGACGCTCTCGCCTTGGTGCCGGCTACATTTTCATTGGAAATGAGGCTCATGCTCGAGCAGTTTTGGGGGGCGCCAAAACCGGCCCCCCAACAACAAACGACGCTCCCGCTCGAGACTTCCTCCTTTTTTTCTCAGGGCCGGTGCACTTGGTCGCCGCCGAAAGCCGCCGTCCCAACAAACCCAGCGCTACCGCTCGAGACTTCCTCCCGTTTTACCTTGGACTGGCGCGCTACTCTTTCTCCCATCGGCGCCGCCCCCAGCAACAACAACGCTCCCGCACGAGAATCCTTCCTTTTTTTACTCAAGGTGGTGCTCCTCCTCGCCGCCGAAAACCGCAGTCCCGACAAAACCAGCGCTCCCTCTCGAGACCTCCTCCCGTTTTATGCTGGATACTCTTTTTCAAGTCGGCGCCGCTCCCAGCAAGAACAACGCTCCTGCTCGAGGCGTCCTCCCTTTTTCCTCAGGACGGTGCTGCTCCTCGCGCCGACAGCCCCCGTCACGATAAAACCACGGCTCCCGCTTCCTCCCTTCTTGCGCAAGGCGGTGTTCCTTCTCACCGCCGGCAACCGCCGTCCCAACAAATCCATCGTTCCCACTCGAGACTTCGTTTTGTTGCACTAGCGCCCTACTCTCTTCAGCATTGGCGCCGCTCCCAACAACAACAGTGGCCTGGTCGAGATTTCCTCCCTTTCTATTCAGGGCCAGGTCCTTTCCTCGCCGCCGACAGCCCCCATCCCCACCAAGGCAATCCTGTCTCTCGAGACTTCCTTGTGTCTTACCTTTGGCTGGGGCTCCACTGGCGGTCTTGCATCGGCACAGCAAGGCGCGGGCATGCGCGTTCGAGGCGGGATCTGTTGAACTTCCTCGGAGGAGGTGTTTGCAAGACCTCATTGGGCGGGGGATCTGGGAATGAGAATAATGGACCCCGCTATAGAACAGTAATCCCCCATGATGGGGATGGTTATCCTGATGGTCGCATGCATCGTGTGGAAACATCGCGCATGAGGGTAAACTGATTCCTGTTGTTGTCGTTGTTGTTGTTGTTGTTGTTGTTGCTGTTGCTGTTGCTGTTGCTGTTTCTGTTGTTGTTGTTGCTGTTGCTGCTTACTCATTTTTAAAGGATAACTATTATTGATGTCCGGAAACGGCTCCGCGCGCTCTCGCCTCGACGCTGGCTACATTTTCTTTGAAAACGAAGCTCCCGCGCGAGAGTTGGCTTGAGTCTAAAAGTGGATCCTTGGAGGCCCAGCTACGACGACAACGGCTCCCGCTTTATATTTCCTTACAATTTACCCCGAGACACCCTGGCCAGAGAGGCCCCCGAACTCAGGAACGGCGCTCTCGCTCGAAACGTCTCCGAAATTCAGTCAAGCGCGTGGAGGCCCAGCCACGACGACAAGGGCTCCTGGTCGATACTTCCTCACGATTTACTCCGAGAGCCCCTGGCCAGGAAGGCCCCCGAACTCAGGAACGGCACTCTCCCTTGAGACTTTCTCGTAATTCAGGCAAAGATGGTGGAGGCCCATACACGGCGACAAGGGCTCCCGTATGATATTTTGCAATTGGTATTCCGAGAGCCCTTGTCCAGAGAGGCCCCCGAACTCAGGAGCGGCGCTCTCGCTCGAGACGAAAGCGGGTGCAATCGAAAACGAAGTGGGCAGGTATCGAGGGTTGGGGCATCCTGGATGCAAGACACGCGTGTCAGTAAGAGCGACCAGTCTTTAATTGATTGTTGTTGTTGCTGTTGTTGCTGAATATTCATTTCCAAAGGATAATGATTGCTGGTATCCAGAAACGGTTCCGCGCGCTCTCGCCTCGACGCCCGCTACATAGTCTCTGCAAACGAGGCTCCCTCTTGAGCGTTGGCTTGAGCCTAAATGTAGGGCCCTTGGATGCCCAGCTACGACGACAACGGCCCCCGCTCGACATTTCCTCACAATTTACCCCGAGACACCCTGGCCAGAGAGGCCCCCGAACTCAAGAACGGCGCTCTCGCTCGAGATGTCCTCGCAGTTCAATCAAGCGCGTGGAGGCTCAGCCACGACGACAAGGGCTCCTGGTCGATACTTCCTCACGATGTACTCCGAGAGCTCCTGGCCAAGAAGGCCCCCGAACTCAGGAACGGCGCTCTCGCTCGAGGTTTCCTTTTTTTGTCAGGCAAGTTGTTGGAGGACCATACACGGCGACAAGGGCTCCCGTTCGATATTTCTCCATCGGTATTCCGATAACCCCTGGCCAGAGTGGCCCCCGAACTCAGGAACGGCGCTCTCGCTCGAGACTTCCTCGCACTTCAGTCAGTGGCCGACAAGGACTGTTGAAGGGGTCCAACGGAATGGCGTCATACGCAGACCGAGTAAGACCTCGCAATCTCTGGGGGGGGGCTGCGATCTGCGAACCCCTCGCCACGTTCGAGTGCTGTGTGGGGGGGGGTCAGCAGAGTGACGTCATACGCAGACCTAAATTTAACCTCACGATCCCTGTGGGGCTGCGATCTGCCAAGCTGTCGCCACGTTCGAGGGCTGCTTGGGAGTCCAAGGAAGTGACGTTCCACGCAGACGTACATTAAACTTCGCCATCCCTCGGGGGCTGAGATCTGCGAAGCTGCCGCCACTTGTGAAGAGCTGCTCGGGGGGCCCGCAGAGTGACGTCCTATGCAGATTCAGATTCGACCTCAACATCCGTCGGGGGGCTGGGATCTGCGAAGCTGCCGCCACCTTCGAGTGCCTCCTGAGGGTTCCAGCGGAGTGACGCCCTACGCAGACTCAGATTAGATCTGACAACCCCTGGGGAGCTGCGAACTGAGAAACTGTCGCCACTTCCGAGGGCTGCTGAGGGTTCCAGCGGAGTGACGTCCTACGCAGACTCAGATTAGACCTGACAACCCCTGGGGGGCTGCGAACTGAGAAACTGTCGCCCCTTCCGAGGGCTGCTGGGGGTCCAGCGGAGTGACGCCCTACGCAGACCCAGATGAGACCTCGCCATCCCTGGGGGGCTGCGAACTGAGAAACTGTCGCCCATTCCGAGGGATGCTTGGGGGTCCAGCACAGCTACGTCCCATGCAGCGTCGGATTGACCTTGACTTCCTGTCCCGCGGGCCGCCCGAAGACCTGGCGACGCGCCTGCGGGCGCTGAGCTCCCGCAGTGCTACGTGGCAGAAAGGAGCGGAGAACCAGGCGGGCGAACTCGGCCGCGCTCGCTCCTCCTTCTCCTCCTCCTCCTCCTCCTCCTCATCCTCCTTCTCCTCCTCCTCCGGCTCCTCCTCCTCCTCCTCCTCCTCCTCCGCCAACTCCTCCTCCTCCGCCTCCTCCTCCGCCTCCGCCTCCTCCCCCTCCCCAGACATCGGGCGGCACTAGCTATGAACAGCTGATCCTCTTGGGAGCACCGAGGCGACACGGCGCGGGCCGCGCTGCTCCTCCGGCGTGCCAGGTGGACATGCTCGCCACCCCCGTCTTGATTGGGCAGGAGTTCCCTATGGGGCCACGCGGCGTGTGAGGGGTGTGCCGAAATGAGGCATCCAAGGCGATGCGGGCCCTGGCATTTGGACCCTAGTGCGGGCAATAGTTATATCCACATCCAGTGCGTCTTGGAGCTTTGGGCTCTCGTCCCCAGAAACCGGAGGCGCACTGGATATCGATAAACATCTTGCCCCAGAAGGTTCGATTTTCATCCATATCCAGTGTGCCTCGGCCTTGCGGCACCCCTTCCCAACAAGTGCACGACGCTCTGGATATGGATATAAGTATTGCCCGCACCTAGCTGGAGCTCGCTATGTGGCCACGAAGCGTGTGAGGGGTGCGCCGAAATCGGGCGTCGACGCCATGCGGGCCCTGGCATGTGAGCTTCAGCTGGGGCTCCCTATGAGGCAACGGAGCGTATGATGAGTGTGCAGACGTGAGGCACCGACGCCACGTGGACCCTGGCATGTGGGCCTTAGCTGAGGCTCCTTTTGGGGTCACGAAGCGCATGAGGGCTGTATCGAAATCGGACGCCGGCTCCATGCGGACCCATGCATTTTGGCTGCCTGCCTGGAGCTCCTTATAAGGGTAACGAAGCGTGCGTGGGGTGTGCCAACTTGCGGCGCCGACGCCATGCGGACCTTGGCATTTCGGGTTTCGCTGGACCTCCCTATGGGGCCACGAAGCTTGTGAGGGGTGTGTAAAATCGGGGCTCCGACGCCATGCGGGTCCTTGCATGTGGGCCTCAGTTGGAGCTCCCAATGGGGCCACAAAACGAGTGAATGGTGCGCCGAAGTAAATGGGCATGCGGATGGCACAGGCAGGGATGGGAGAAGGGAGGGATGAGCGGGAGCAGGAAGAGAGGAGTGACGCGAGGCGCGTTTTTTTCAAATCGAGGACCCTACACCACAGGATGGTTGGGAACAGTGAAGCGGATGGGAGGAGGGTGGCGGTGAGGAGGAGGGACGGAGGAACGGAAGAGGCGGAGCAGGATCGGAGTACCATCATGGGAGGATGAGCCGAGGAAGGAGAAGGAGGAGGAGGAGGAGGAGGACCAGTGTAAACCCAAGAGTCATCAACGATGTTAATATAAACCCTCCCTTCAAACAGCTGTTTTTTTATCTGCCCCTCCAACGGTTCATTTTCATTGAGGGAACTGCCTCGCTTGAGGACATCCGCTTGAAGACCATGAAGCATGCCAAAACATTGTTCTCTTTTTTCAACGCCACAAATCTACCTGACTTTTGCGTCGTGACGATCCTGAATCGTGCCAGAACGCCATTCCCAGGATTTCAACAGCGAGTCAGCGTAACAGTTGCGGCCGCAAAATCTTGAATCCTTCCAGCACACCATTTCGGGTACGTTCATGATCTGATCCTTGAAACGCTTGCACATGTTGTGAAAACATGCGCGCCGCGCTGAGGCGAACGCCACATTTGAAAAGCCCTCAGTCCGCCCTCAATCCGTGAAGACTTTGCAAATTTTTGAAACGAATGTGCGCGGCGGCAAAGCGAGAGCCACAAGTTGAAAACGGTTTGCCCTCAATCCGTGAAGTTCTTGCAATGTTTAAACGAATGTGCGCCGCGCTAAGGCGAGATCCGCATTTTGAAAACCATCCGTCCTCAATCCGTGAATCTCTTGAACGTTTTAAGCGGATGTGCGCCGCGTTGGCGAGTGCCACATGTTGAAAACCATCCGCCCTCAATCCGTGAAGCCCTTGCAAATGTTGGAAACTAATGTGCGAGAGCCACATTTTGAAAACGACCCGCGAGTCATAAGTGGTGAGAAAGTCTCAGGCGAAACCCCCAGCCATTCCGAACTACTGGCCTCGGGGTGCGACAGGGGGAAGTTATGTATGAGGAACAGGAATGGAGGAGGAGGAGGAGGAGGAGGAGGAGGAGGAGGAGGAGGCGGAGGAGGAGGAGGGGGAGGAGGAGGAGGAGAAGGAGGATCGGAGGAGGACCACAATAAGAAGAGGTGGAGGAGGCGCAATATTGGAAGAGAAGGGAAGATGGGAACGGAGGAGGAGGAAAAGGAGGAGGAGGAGGAGGTGGGGGAAGAGGAGGAGGAGGTGGAGGAGGATCGGATGCTGATTCTGATGATGGTGGCGATGATGCTGATGTTGCTGATGATGATGATGAGGAGGCGGAGGAGGAGGTGGAGGGTCGGGGGAGTAGGAGGAGGCGTATCGTCGTCGGAGGAGGAAGAGGGGGAGAAAGATGATGAGGAGGAGAAGGAGGAGGGGGATGATAATGAGCGGAAGTGCGAAGGATGAGGGGGGAGGCCCCCCACCACAAACAGTTGCTGAGGGCCAGTCGATGGGGGTAGTGGGGGGGGGGGCGTCGGTGGTGGTGGTGGTTTCTGGGCGCTTTCGCGGGGCAGCCTGCGCACCCTCCTCTTGTGCGGTGGGGTTGGTGATGACGCTGCTGCTGCAGCTGCTGCTGGTGCTGCTTCTGATGATGATTCTGATGATGATAATGATGACGACGATCATGGTGGTGTGGATGATGCTGATAATGATGGTGATGGTGGTCATGCTGATCGTGATGATGATGGTGATGGTGGTGATGATGATGCTGATGATGATGATGATGACGATGCCGATTCCGATATCGATGACGATGTCGATGACGATGTCGATGACGATGTCGATGTCGATGACGACGACGAGGATGATGCTGATGACGATGATGATGATGTAGATGATGATGATGATGATGATGATGATGATGATGATGATGATGATGACGATGATGCTGCTTATGCTGCTGATGTTTGTAATGGTGATGATAGTGATGCTGATGATGATAATGCTGATGATGATGATGATTATGACGATGATGGTGATGCTGATGCTGATGATGATTGTGATGATGATGATGATGACGATGATAATGATGATGATTATTATGATGCTGATGCTGATGCTGCTGCTGATCATGATGCTGATACTGGTGATCATGATGATGCTGATGATGATGATTATGATGATGATGCTGATGTTGATGATGGTGATGATGATGATGATGATGATTATGATGATGATGTTGATGATGATGCTGATGATGATGATGATGATGATGATGATGATGATGATGATGATGATGATGATGATGATGATGATGATGATGATGATGATGATGATGATGATGATGATGATGATCGGGACCGAGCTCGGATCGAGCGCCGCGCGCGTCGAATGAGCAGAACGAGCGAAGAGGCGGCCCAACGACCCAGACGAGCATCGCGGCCAGGGCGGAGGCGACAGCACACATAACAGTCGAACGCGAACGGATCACGCGAGCAATAGCCATGCCAGAGCCTCATCTCCAACGACGAGGGCACGATGGACAGGAATCCTGACATTAGAGCCGTCGGGGCGAAGACCTCGCAAAAACCGATTCAAACGATCACGCTTGTTCGGCTCTCGACGGAGTTGGGTTGGATCGCAAGGCAGCAGCAGGCCTCCACGAGCCGCGCCTCGCGAATAGGATCCGCACGCCGTGCACGCCACGAACTCGCCTGCGACCCTGAGTCTGTGCCCCCTGCATGCCACAGGCGGCACGGGGCCAGACTCGGGGACAGGCGCAGCAGGTGGGGTTGCCGAATTCGCCCCGGGCTGCCCCCCCCGAGACCTCTTTGGACGGGGGGCCGCACTCCCGGTGGGCCCGCAGGCCTGGCCAGCGGCCGACTGGGCGCGAGAGCTCCAGGGAAACCGCCAACCGCAGGCGGTGGTCCGAGCGCCTGATCGACGTCCTGGGGCGTCGTTCTAATCAGTGGCGACGCAGGAACTGCCACCAGGTTACTTGGGCATGGATTTTCTCCAGGGTGCGATCCAGCTGATCCCGAAGACGCAGAAGTCCGAGGCCGCACGACACGGGCAGAGGGAGCAGAGGCAGGGCGCCTCTGACCGCGTGACGGCGCGGGAGCTCTAGGGAAATCCGCGCCGGCCCCACACGAGCCAGGATCCGTCGCCAGAGCTCCAGAAGCGGATCCAGCCGACGGCTCGGAGGACGAGGAAGGCACAGAAGCCGTCAGCGCAGCTCCAGTCATGAGCGCCGCGGCCGCCACCATCGCCTGGGGGGCGGTGGACGTGGCCGGACTGCATTCCGCCAGCTCGACGTCCTCGGCGAAACGCACTCGCTTGCGGGGAGGTTCATGGGCAGCCTGGGGCGGAGAAAAACCGACTGGGGCACCCTCCCCCCCGCCTGGGGCCGCCGAGCTCTGGCTCGACATGCCGGCATCCTGATTTAGGGCCGCGCCGAGGGCTGCGGGGGCGGCCGCGGGGCGCGGAGGAGGAGGAGGAGGAAGCTCAGAGGCCCGCTCGACCACATCCCCCCGAGCCGCTTGGGCCCGCGCCTTGAGCTCCCTCCCCCTGCACGTCTGGCGGAGCACACGCGCGCGACCAGCCAACGTGCGAGCTTTACTAGCGCACCAGGCGCATCGCCACCACGAGGCAGCGAAAAACGGAGCATGAGCATAGGCGGGCGTCATGCATGGCTCACCACGGCGTCGCCGCGGCTGGCGCGTCCGCCGCCCTCGTGCTCGCGGCGGCCGTGGGTCGCGATCTGGCGCCAAGGCCCCAGACATCAGGCCGTCGTGCACCGCTGCCACCCAGCAGGCCGTCTGACGAAGGTGTCGAAGGAGGACCTTGGACTCCGCCTTCTGCTGGTCCGTGAAGCAGTGGAGCCCCGATCC